TTTCCAGTCATTAATACGGACAAACCAATTTCAAACCGAACTGAACACTCTTTTCATGATTCAGCGAACCAACTAGCCGACCAACCAGCCAGCCAGCCAACCAACCAATCAACAAAACAACCAACCAACCAATCAACCAGCCAATCAACCATCAACCAACAAAACAACCAATCAGCCAGCCAATCAACACCAACCAGCCAGCCAAACAACCAACCGCCCAATCAAACAATCACAGACGAATGAACTCAACAGAGGACTACAAATAGAAATAAAAATTCAAATGCCTGTAGAATATTTGTTTAAAGTGTCGAACATTTTTTACAATCACGGGATCAAAGTATACGAATGGAATATTTGAAATAAGAAATTATGGCTTTCAATTAATGTTGGTGCAGAAAATCCAGGTTTGTTTAGCTGGTGGCATTTGATCAGCTATCTGACGTGCACTGTTACAGCATTCCATTCCAGCACTTGATTTCTAATACAGACAAGCAGCTTCTATGATTATTTTGATCATAGTATGTGATGAATGAATTTAACTCTGAACAATACACATGAAGATTTGTTGTTATAGATATTCGTGCACCGACCAATCAACTGCTACTCACACACACCAACTCTCTCAATCACAACCTGGATGCGCTTCCTATGTATGCGTGTGCGTGAGTGTGTGCCTGCGTGTGCGTGTGCGTGTGCTAGACAGGTTGTAATGTTGCGTTTGCACGATGAAATGAAGTTCCAACAAGAAATTCAAATTAATTAATTATTAACTTTTTTCTAAATTTTAAAACTGTCCCACATTTAAAATCTGCATGCTTCACCCTTTCAATGTCATTCCATTGAACAATAATAAAAAAATAATTAATAAAAAAAAAACTAATAAAATGAGAAGTTAACGATAATAAACAGTTTCGCACGTGTTGTTCAAACAGAAAAATTGAAAAAATTACCTGAATGTGACTCAAATGTGACACAAACACATAACTCAATCCTTACAGCGTAGATTCCTGCAGCTAGTAATGGCCCAACCAGTACAATACACATCACAATGGTACATACATTACATTACCCTTCAAAAAATAGCAACATAAATAACAATTTGTGTAACTTTCCAGCATTAAATCAATACGTAGATAATGTCATTGATGAAATATTTATCATCTCAATTTAAATAAAAATATCTTAATGTGACATTTTCTTCTGTGACGAAGAGATGATCATATTTTTCAATTTAATGTACTTTCATAACGTTAATTTTCTATTGAAGAAGTCATTTATATGAAGACATTTTACGGTGTATGTGTATATGTGATGGTCATTCTTAAATATCACACTGTGCAAGACGCTATAACTACACACACACACACACACACCACACACACACACACACACACCACACACCACACACACACACACACATGAACAATACGCATGCGCGCACACACACGCACACACCACAAAAACACACATACACATAAACAATACACACACACACACATATCTGTGTATTCATTCTTTGTTAGGTTCAACGATAAACAAGAATGAGTGAGTATTGAAATATGTAGCAGGTAGGCAGGCATGTGAGTTCATGAATGTACTTCATTTGAAAACATTACGCTGTTGCTTTGAACTGTATTAATAGAAATATTTCATACAAACATTCACACACACACGAACGCACACACACACACGCACACACACACACACGAAAACACACAAGCATTCAGACACAGACACATACACATACAGAACCGTATACAATACATACATATATACACATACACACGTACAGACTCACGTTGTAACAATGAATGTTTTGAATGAATGTATTAAATGAACCACTACGCACGTAAATCACAGAAATACAACATTCCGACTCATTATTGGATCTTGCGCATTTCAAAACAACAACAGTTTCAGTTGCGGAAAATGCAGATGGTTTCCAACAAGTTTCAAGAGCGCTGTCACTGAGTAGCGGAAATGTATTAGCCTTTTTGGTTTATTTATTTATTCTCCATTTTGTAACAGTTTGCAAACTGCTTGGAATCAGTTCTCTTCAGGTGGTGGTCGTCATTAACAGACATCGTGTCACGTGATGTCTTCCTTCCTTATCTGAGTACTTGTTGGATAAATTAATTAACCAATGCTGATTATGCATTCTGTTAATTATCACCCATGCGAGCAAAGTTGCAACTGATTTAAGAAACGAGTTGTGTTAATTTAACTAGTTAGTTTAAGGATGTAACAAACATTTTATGAGAACATTAGAACAAGATTCCTCGAAATGAAATGATCAGGTCTTTACTTCTAATCGTTTAAATCACCAACGTGTTGGTTATTTAATTTATTAAATTACGTGTAAAAATTTTGCAATTTGTTGGCGACGCTGGTGACATTGGTTGAAGTTGCGGGGCAGCAGGCGGACGTGCCGTCGTCGAACTCACCGCGTTTGCCATCTTGTTGAAGTTTTTGTGGCGCCGCGTGTTGAAATGAATAAAAAACGTTTCCGTCTGATGATGACGGAAGTTCCTGTTCCACGTGATCGCAAAGCAGGGATGGGCGATCGTGTGACGTCATCACGCAGGTGTAACCTTGTTTAGCGTTGTAGTCACTTGCAACGACGCAATCGCCACCAACGCCACAACTGCTCCCACCAGTGACCACCATCCCGCTGCCAGCATTATACAGCGCGTTCGTGCTGCTCAACTGCTGCCGCTCCTGCTGGCCCGGCAGTGTCTTGCCGAAGAACGAGGTGAAATTCGTTGACCTGCCAGGTGAGGTCATTTGTAGCTGATTGCTTGATGCTATTGAGGTTTTGTTGATGTCATCTTTGTTGTTGTTGCTGTTGTTGAAATCATTTGCGTTATTGCTGTTGTTGTTGCCGTTTGCAATCTGCCAGACGTGAGTGTATCCGTACTCACCATTTTCGAGGCGATGGTGAACTTTGCACTGTTGCATGTTAGCCAGTTGTTGCTGTTGTTGTGGTTGATGCTGGTGTTGCGAATGTTGTTGCTGTACAATTTTCGGCAAGCCTGGAAAATGATGATGAGTGTGTGGCAGCTGGTTGTAGTCGCAGAAGAGGCCGGCATCGTCGTAATCAGTGATCTCCGTCGGCGGGCCGAGTGGCTGGTTGTGCATGTGGATGAGGTCGTCCTGCAGGCCCGACACGTCGTACTGCTTGTGCGGCGGTCTCGCCTGGTCCGATCTTCTGAAAATAAAATTCCAAGTTAAATGAAAGATTGATTGTTTAAGTGAAAGCCTGTGGCGTGGGTGAATGCCAGTGATCAATGAAAACTCTAAATTTAAGAGAGAATATGTAAACACCGTCACCAAACGAATTTCCGAAAATTTGATTAAGATGAAAAACACATATTGTTAGGAAAACACATGATGTGGGTATTCAAGATAATCAGAAAATTAATTTCAAAAGATGACGTCTAAATATTAATTATGCATGAGATGTAACCTTTTGCACCAGAGGACAGCACCGAGCAGTGAGAAGCCACACATGGCTCCTATCATCACGCCGACCACCACTGCCGTCAACAGACCTGCCAACAAATCATTATAAGTCACTTATTTTTATAGATTCATTCGGTAGATGTGAAATTGTAAGTAAAAAGCCCGAATGGTTAAATTGAAGTTTATAAAATTTAGAAATAATTAATTTTGTGATAAAAAATGAACATATTCAATTTAATGTAGGTGACGTAACATGAGAACACGGGCTGACCGTAGGTGGGAAATGATGCATTCTGGTAGGCCCCCTCCTCCCTCTGATGCTCTGGCGAATAAAAAATAACTTTTACTCACTCATTGTAATTAAATTGATAGCTATTTAGTTGAAAAAAACCGAAATAATAAGAAATAAGAACGTGAAGAATAAAACAAGAGATTGTAAAGAACACAGAACAGTAGCTGATGTTGAATTAGGCAGAGGACCTGAGTGAGCCAGGCACGATGAACATCACTGTTAATTCGCATCATAACTTTCATGCCGAAACAGAGTAACGTGAGATTAACACGCGCACAAACTGTCTCGCAACAACAATCTACGTCCCACCGACTCACCGCTCAATTATTTTCTTCATTAGTACTATAACATACAACAACGAAAACTATAACTACTACCACTACTACCACTACTACTACTACTGCTGCTGCTACTACTACTACTACTACTACTACTACTACTACTGCCATTACTACTACTACTACTACTACTTCTACTACTACTACTACTACTACTATTACCATTACTACTACTACTACTATTACTATTATTACTACTACTACTACTACTACTACTATTACTACTACTACTACTACTACCATTACTACTACTACTACTCCTACCGTTACTACTACTACCATTACTACTACTACCACTACTACTACTACTACTACTACTATTAATACTATTACTACTACTATTACTACTACTACTACTACTACTACTACTACTACTAATAATAATAATAATAATAATAATACAACTGCAACTGACTGGCGTCACAGAGGACAGCTGATTGCCAGCCAAACCATTCAGTTCCTCTGCAGACGAGGCTCCACTTGGTGTTGCTGATGTTGCACGTGACTGTTATCTGATCGTTGATTCGTTGGATCTTAGAGTTTGGGGGCGGGTCTATGTCGGCACAACCAATCGCTGGTCGGTTCAAAGGTTATCTCTATTATTTATCACATAACACATTGGTTGAACTTTATTCAAATTGATAAGAAAATTTGAAAAATAGTACATCTACATATGTACGACTTGTAAAACATCCAGATGCATGCATATAAATAATTGGAAAGGAAATTATTTCGGTAAAAATAGGCAGAGAAAAACAACGCATGAGACAATCGATTGTTCACGCTTGCTTGCAACGCCTCTACCGACCGTTGTACTTAATTAGGAAATTGATATTTTCGTCGCTGATCACGTGATTCGCCGTTTTAAGTACCAAGGTGCTCCCTGTCGACGTGTAGGCGTGTTTCTCCCTGCCAGTGTTGTAGCACACGGTGATGTCGTTGCGCATGTCTCGCTCGTAGACCGTCGCGTACACGTGGCAGTATTCCAGTTGTTGCTGATGTTGTTGTTGAGACAGGTGTGCAGCATACTGAAAGTTGTTGTGATTCAAGGAGCGTTTGTTCATGTTGTATCTGCAAGCATCGTAATGGAACATTCAAATTAGTTGCTCAAATTTAATGTTGTTGTATTTCAAGTTATCATTCAGTTTGTGAATAAACAAATCATCAACGTAACGTCAACATGCATGCAACACTGGAAAATCAATGACATCATGTCATATCATCCCATCAGCATTAACATTAGACAACATTAAATCCGCAATCAACCAATCAACCATAATCAACAATCAACCATTAGCAACAGTAAGTATCTCACAATAAGCGGATCAGAATAATGCAATGTTAATTTGAAACAACAACCACTGCTGATTAATCAGTGGAAGAAGAGGAACCTTGGAGGTGCAGTCGTAAAATCCATGATGGAGATGTTGACCTGCTGGCCGGCAAGTGTCTCAATGACCACCCGACATGAAGTGGAACCTGACGCTCGCATCACGTGGGCCGACAGGTAGTTGAAGACGTTCGTGTGAGCAAACAATTTGATGGGATGCCTCTCGTCGTCGCACTGCTCGTTCTCCTCCCCGGGTTCAACTGCGCGTGGAGCAGGTAGATGCGGGTGTTTGTATCTTGTGATAGGTTGGTAGCATTATGTGTGGGCCAACGACGTTCACTATAATTCAATTTTTATGATTCAATTTTGTTTCTTGAAGTTGCGTGTTTTGCTTATTTTACGGAAATTTTTTTACGTTTCATTGCAGGATGTTTAAACGATTTGAAATTTATTTTGATGCCTGAGTGTTGCGCAGTAGACGTGTTTAATTGAGCCTTTTTATATAAACTGTTTTAATAATAATATTAATAATAATACAGCTGATAACATGAAACATTTTAGTACATAAACTATAATTTATTTTCTTATTTCATCGTTGCCAACGAATGTACTTGTGCAACTAATCCATGCATTATTCCGTGTTTTTCTTTTTTTGTTCATTGATTGCTTCATGCATCATGCTTCATGCATTATGCTCCATGCATCATGCTTCATGCATCAGGCTCCATGCATCATGCATCATGCTTCGTCTGCACGCAAGTTACATCTTCGTTAAATGTTCCTAGATATGAAACGAACCAGGCTGTGGATTCAGTCCACGCTGTGATTTTCTTCTCACCTCAGTCTTTGAAGTATTCCTTTACTCCTTCATTGATTTGCATTTTTGTACTTTGTCAGACTGATGTATTTAAGTACTTATGCACCTATATAATCATGTACTTAAGTACTTATGGGCTCATGTGCTCGTGTGCTTGAGTATTCGTGTTCTCATGTGTTCAAGTATTTATATAATTAGGTACTCAATTACTCATGTACTGGTGTAAACTTTATTGAAGTACCTCTTTATTTCTTCACTTATATAACGATGAAAATGTCTATTGAGGAATGGATTTCAATAAATAAATTTTGAATGATTTTAGACCTACTAAATTAAAAAAATGTTGACCGTTGCAACTTTCAAAAAATTCCGCGTTTTCTTTTTGTTTAAATTGACCAGTTGGCCACAATATGACAAACAAATGAAAATAAAAGGCAAACCGTATTTGCCTGTCTATGAAAAAATAAATCTCTTTTTTAAAATTTTAGTTCAAAAAGTTATTTAATTAATAAAAATGAATATTATTTCAACAGAGAAATCCCGCGTGCCTGTTTTAACGATCAGTTGTTTGAATGAGTGGATCTTCGGGACAAGCAACAGTCGCAGCAGCCTGCAGACCAACAGACGGAAGTGCGTTAAAGACAAAACACACGAAGGATGCACAAAAGTGGAACGTGATGCAATGCGGTTGAAATAAATTAGCTCCACTGCAAGACTGAATATTGAATTTTTGACCTTCATACAGATAGAGCGATTGAGCCATTGTTCATTTGTCTGTGTGTGCTCCTCGAACTTTCCATCAATGAACTGGTGCTTTGTACATTTTGGGACGCTTTATATTTCGTTCTTATATCTCTATCACAACAATAACTACAGTGCCGAATGGAGTTTTTTTATTATTTGAAATTGCTTGAAGTTGTTGTTCTTATAAATAATAAAGTATGTATGGAAGGGCATGCCACATCCATCGTTCCATGTTGTTTCCTGCTTGCATCATTAACAGCGTTGTTGTGTTGAGTACATCTGATGGTGGTGGCCTATGTTGTGCTCACTCAACTGTCGCTGCAATATGTTGCATGCATGCATGTTAATGTTCATGTTCAATAATTCACTTGCTATTACAATTCATGGTTTAGAAGGATTTTGGTTATATATATATATATATATATATATATATATATAACCAAAAAATATATATACATATAACTAAAGGATCCTAAATCACCGTCAATATTAATATAAATTAAATAATAATAATTAAATACTATTTGATTCAATTTATGATTAAGAGTTCATACGAAAAACCGAACAACGAAAGATGCATCCATCAAATACTTCGTTACCGGAGGCCTGGATGTTTGAAGTCGGGCGTCACACGGGTTCATTTGTAATGATTGTTAAAATGAAAACAATTTGTTGAGCAGTTTTGCTTCTTGCAATTTTTAAATTTTTAATTTTAATGTATGATGGACTTTTTGTACTTCAAGACACATCTCCAAAAATATTTGTTATCAAGTGTCTACAGTATGAATACAAGTTGTTTGTGGGCGAGTGTGCGCGTGTGCGTATGCGTGCTATCTCATATATAATATTAATATAAACCTGAGCAGGCAAGGCATATATTATTAACTTAACAAGTCTTCTACACTTCTGGAAGTAGTTTTACAATGATGTTTCTGTTCTAATTTCTGCTGACTGTCGAGCATAACTTCATCCATTTCGAGTTCTGCTTTTATAAATGTTGTTAAGAAGAGAGAAATAATTCAGACAGGTTTTTGTGTTGCATTGAAAGTTAAATTCTTGAAACTTACGTGGTCACAAACGCCGTTGTCTTCTTAGTAACCAACTACAAAATTGATGTGGGCATCTTTCGAATTTCAACTCTCATTCCTAAATCGAATTGTCTTACCTCATAAGAATAATGTCTTATTTTTCTTATATTTTATTGTTTCATGTTAAATACGTTAGAAAAAAGATGCCTCCTATCAATTCGGAATTTTTGAAAACTTAAGTTTTTATTTAACGGAGAGGTTCACATTTAAAAAACGACGAAGTATATAAATCTTTTTTTCTATTTCGCGTTTGTCGGTGATGATGTTCCAGCATCATATCCATCAAACAATTTTTTATCAACGTGTAACGGGTGCATCGAAGTCATTATTTTATTTCAAGATGCCACAAACGTTCGGTGGATATCAACTTTTTAGCGGCAGTATTTTTTGCATTTTATTTGGTTTCGGAGAGACAAATATTAAATATCGACGTGTTTACAAGTAATGTTGCATCTCTAATCAATCAGTTCAGGAGCTCAGTAACGGGATTGTTATTATTTTTTGAGTACCAAAGTATCTGGCCATAATTTGGGATGTGGAAAATTTTTGAAGATGCAATTCGAACTGCAACAAGTACAAAATTTAAGCGACTCGCCTTTCTGCGCTGATTGTAAAATAAACAATTTAAAAACATGAAATTGACGCGACATAATTTCCCATTTTGTTTTGTTAAAAAGTGTTTAAAAACATTTATATAAAAACTGCTTGAGATGCAATAATTAAGCGTTTTGTTTGAATAAATCGATATAGCAAATAGTTTCATAAACAAACAAATTTTTCAAACATAACAAAAACATGCAGACGCTGCCGATAACAATTCAAACAACCACATTAAATCGCTCAATGAACGAAATCTCTAAAGAGACTAAATCATCAACTCAGCAATCAAATTAAGAGTTAAACTAAACACCACGGCGCATAAAGAAAGAAATATTTTAGAAACCTTTGAGACAAATGAATCCTGCTTGCAGGTAGGCCATCATATCTTCGGAGCAGCTGTTCAAGTTGTGCATGTTGACGTCGGGAATGAGGACCGAGCACTGAGGCCTGCCCGAGCACCTGCTGTCCATCTCTCGCAGCACGTCGCTGTAACAACCTGCACGCAATTTTAGGCACCATGTCTGATGATTTGTTGACAACATGTCTGATGATTTTTGGGCAACATGTCTCATGATTTTTAGGCACCATGTCTCATGATTTTTAGGCAACATGTCTCATGATTTTTAGGCACCATGTCTCATGATTTTTGGGCAACATGTCTCATGATTTTTAGGCAACATGTCTCATGATTTTTAGGCACCATGTCTCATGATTTTTAGGCAACATGTCTCATGATTTTTAGGCAACATGTCTCATGATTTTTAGGCACCATGTCTCATGATTTTTAGGCTACATGTTTCGTGTTTTTATTGACATCTTAAACTGTTAAATAATTGCATTGTGATCATTTATCAGCTACACTACTTAATTGGAAAAAAATGAACAAATTTGAAAGGAAGCAGTGTAAATAAGCGGGAACCTTTAAATTACTTCCCAAAATGTTTAAATTTTGAACCAAAATTCACGATTGAATAGAACGATTTGCATGTTCACCAATAAAAACAATAAATTGAACTGAAAGCCAACCAACCAATGTCGACGTTGTGGCGGATACACTTGCCCAGCTGCATCCTGCCGTACCTCGCCTCCGTCATGAGGACCACCTCGCCGGCGCCACACGAGGCATTGAACCTCTGGAACTGACAGGTGTCTACAAGAGGGGTCGTCGGAGTTGAACGTGGCGCGTTTGCTGTCTGGCTGTCTGTGTGGAAAGTTTGAGGATGATTGCGTGTGTTGAGGTTAATGTTTCATTAATCACGATGTCGTTCCTGTTGTTTGATGAAATTCGTAATCTAAATGTGCAATCACTTATCCATCCTAAAATTTGCGATCATAAATCCATCTTAAAATGTGCGATCATAAATCCATCTACAATCATTACAGAATGATTTTTAATGATTGGAGATTTCCAATAATGCATGCGGCAACAATTTCAGTGAAGAAGGCAGTGAAGATTTTTTGAATAATTTAAAAAATAATTGACATTAATGTGCATAATTAATACAGAGAAACACGTTTCTAAAATAATCGATGTAATAATTACATAACGATTTAACGATATGAAAATTTAGACACAACATAAAACAAAGCTATAAAAAATGAAATAAACTAGAAACAATGAATTTTAAAGAAATCCTAAAAATTCAAAATTAAAATAATCATAAAAAGTAATGCGAAAAACTTATATGCTGGCATGTCGTTTAATTATTATGCGCGGGACTGATGCTTCCAATATTACAAAATGACTTCCACTGAGACATGCGTTCGATATTTGTGTAATGTTTTATATATTTTATATATGTTATCTATATACCATGATATAAAGTCTTTTTATGTTTTGTAGTATCTTTCAGGCTCTTCTTTTTGAAATTAACAACGGAGTTTTTTTTTAATTTAATTTCTTGTTTTTAATGTGACTAACAATTTTGTGAACAAATGAAATTTTAATCGCTGACATCGTCAACATAATCAATATAATCAAATGCATCTTCATCTGCATCATCATCACCATAATGTTATAATCACCATCATGATCATCGTCGTCATCATCACCATCATCATCGTCGTCGTCATCATCATCATCATCGTGATTGGTGTCAGAGTGGCCCATCTAACGCAAGTAATCGTACTTTCACCGTGCAGAGAAGTGCGAATGATGGAAGTTTTGAAAGATGCAAGGAATAAAAAAGAGCAAAGAGGAACAAGGAGGCTGCCGTGTTTGCAACATCCGCATCATTTCCTCCGTATCATTTCCTCCTCATCCTCTCATCCTCATCTTTTTCCTCCTCCTCCTCCTCATCATCATCATCATTCTCGCCGACTTAACGGATTGACTTTTGCTCTTGAACGATTACACGCACGCCAGCGAATGAATGAATGAATGAATGAATGAATGAATGAATGAATGAATGAATGAATGAATGAATGAATGAATGAATGAATGAATGAATGAATGAATGAATGAATGAATGAATGAATGAATGAATGAATGAATGAATGAATGAATGAATGAATGAATGAATGAATGAATGAATGAATGAATGAATGAATGAATGAATGAATGAATGAATGAATGAATGAATGAATGAATGAATGAATGAATGAATGAATGAATGAATGAATGAATGAATGAATGAATGAATGGATGAACGAACGAACGAACGAACGAACAAACGAACGAATGAACGAACGAACGAATGAAAGAATGCAATAACTTGAATGGAAAAATAAATAAACCATCAATTAAGAAGATTAACAATTAATTATTTATAAAAAATTAAAAGAGATGTGACAACACGTTTAAAAAATGCATCCAGACCATCAATACGGACAGCGAATTATTGTGGCTTGACGAACACCAACGCCAGGAAGATCTTGAAGAGACCTATTAAAGGTGGAACGTTGGGGAAAGTTTAACGTTAAAACTTGTAGTTTCGTAAGATTTGAAAATTGATAAAAATGAAATTTCAAGTTTTACTGAAAATAGAATATCAAATTAAAATATATTGACAGGTTTAAAAATAAAAATAGATCTGAAAAAAATTGTTTAAATATTTTAATAATAACAGCAGATAAAAAGCACATGCATGCATCTTCCGCCGCACATCAAACTCGTTTGCAACGCGGCAGCAGGCAGTCAAACATGTGACGAAAAACGCTTCTCTGTACACCATCGAAATCGTCAGATGTTCTTATTGCTGGTGCTTACAAACACACCAACACACACACACACGCACACACGTTTTTTTAGCTTAAGGTAGTACAATTTAATTTGTAATTTATAAAAATCCCACAAAAAAGAATACTAAACAGATACAAAATCACCTCCACAACACAGCACCTTCACAGACACTTACATAGAGAAAAAGAGAAAGAGAGAGAGAGAAAGAGAGAGCGGAAGGTGTAAAAAATATACGATGTGATGAGGGAGAGTATTGACCAGCTAAGCGGAGACGAATGCAACGGGTTAGGCCATAAAAGTGAAACACAAACAAGCAGACAGAGAGTCAGACACACAGACAGACAGACGAAGAGAGAAACAGGCAACAAACTAATCTTTAAAGCATTAACACGTGCACACATAAATAATTCAAGCATTAAGAGCCTCATACACACTTGTGTACATACATACGTACGTACGTACGCTACTACGTGCCATGACAATATGAGCAGGTACGCATTAATAAATGATTACAAATATATATATATATATATGCTGATTGAAGACCAAATTCTTGACAGTATGTAATAAATTCCACCGATTTATTAGTGTTAATCAACTTGTTTTCGAATTTTTCAATTTGTATTAATAAATTTTTGTCAACAAAATTGATTGTGTTCAAGATTGAAATTTTTTCCCATTAAGAAACATTTTATTAAAAATATTGCAGATATCTATCTTCAATAATTTTAATAAAATGTTTGTTAATAGAAACAAAGTTTCAATTTTTAACAGACTTAATTTTGTATATAAATTGATAAACGCTTATAAATCGATGGAGTTTATTACATGCATATACGTATATAATGGATTGTATGTAAGAATTGTGACTGCCATAGGCGATTGTCAATAAATATATCATTATAGCGTTTTGTACAATGCTAGGCTTACAACTGAGTTCTTTAATTGTTCTAACAATGATTTTAAGTTTTTTTCAAGGTTTTTCAACAGCAAATTCTCACACGTTCTATATGTGATGCGATGTGAAGTGATGTGAAGTGGGATGCGATTTACATTACGTACGATGCTGTTTTTTTGGCGGCATCCACCTCTCCCAGTTTTCAACGATGGAAGTTCTGAAGTGAATAAATAAACTGCGTGCACAGACACACGTACGTATCTAATAATGCTTGCCATTAAAGTTTATGCCCAACAAATTCATGAAGCTTCATCGCATTAATTAATCTACAAAAATCACTACAAACTCAAGAACAGGCAAACATACAAACATCTATACAAACAAACAGACATAAACAAACAAACGTTCATACTGCTAACTTTGCAAACAAACCAACGAACAAAAACAACAATATATACAAAAAAAGATACAAACAAACACACAGTCATGCTTATGTGGGGCAATGTATTTACTTAACAACACATCCAAAGAGCTTGTCATTAATTTCCCGATGTTAACAACATGAGCCTAACTAAGCAAATAATAACTGTATGTTTTAATTAAGACCAACAAATGCACCAGTTGGCTTTTCTGAACGGGCTCGTTAAATCATATTCAGATGCGGCCTGATGTGAGCTGAACTGATGTGAGGGGATGTAGCTAGTGGGGTGTGATTAGGTGGGATGTGTGGTGGGGTGTGATGTGGTGTGTTTTGATGTGGTATCGTGTGATGTGTGGTGTTATGTGATGTGTGGTGATGTGAGGTGTTGTGTGTTTCCAATCATTTGGCTCATGTGAATTATTTCAACAGAGTTGAATTGCAGTAATAATTTTTTCTGGATAAGTTCATTAAAATGAAACCACGTAAAAAGTAAAAGAAGAAACATCGTCGTCAAGCAAGCTTGAAAAATTTAATTTAGAAAAAAGAAAATTGAAAATTATCGAAAGTGACAAGATTTTCGCCAACCTGTTATTGTAAGTGTGTATATATAATGTATTTTGTATATACACGTGTGTGATGTTGTATACATATGCGTATCTGTCTGTGTACCTGTATGTGTACTTGTGTGTGTATCTCTGTCTGTGTATCTGTCTGTGTACCTGTATGTGTATCTGTATGTGTATTTGTTTGTGTATATGTATGTGTATCTGTATCTGTATGTGTATATGTATGTGTATCTGTATGTGTATCTATCTGTGTATCTGTCTGTGTATCTCTCTGTGTAACTGTATGTGTACCTGTATGTGTATCTGTCTGTGTAGCTTGTGTGAGTGTAGGTTTTAAACTTTGCTATCGATTGCCATGGTGAGCAGCACATTAACAAATTATTCTGTCCACTCGTTGTACTTAAACTTCCACGCGTAGGACTAGCTGTTAAGCTCTTAGGAATCTAGCTTATACTATTTTCATTAATGATTGTAGTTAGCGCAGACAACAATTAGTTAGAACGGATGTTGAAATTCAAAAATTTGATTCATGTAATTCAATCAAGTTTTCTTATCAAATAAAAAAACTCGTTTGTTTGAACTTTCAGCACCTTCATGTCTGAACGAGGGAATATATTAAATTAATGAGACATTATAAAAGATTGAGTGGATTGCTCGAGCAAAAGTGTGAGCAAGTCAAGTCTGCATGTCTGGTTGTATTTTCCATGTCTGTCTGGTTGTACTTTCCAATCGTTTTGTTTTGTTCAACATTACTCTTAATGGCAATCAATAGTAAAAGATATTAACTTATTTATCTAAGAGATCATTAAAAAATCCCCGTTGCTTCATCAATGGTTCCAACCTTATTTGCGTCTGATACGCCCGGGAAACCAAGTAAAATTGGCTATAAACAAACAAAAGTAAGCATGTGCGTTCTTTGTCGTTTCGTTCCAACTCATGTAGGTCAATATTTTTTGTTATTCAACATTCATCTGTCAAAAAGTTTTAATTAACATTAAAAAAAAATAAAACTTAAACTATATCTCTTTATTGCTATACTGCCGATGTTTCGAAAAGTTAGAGTTTAACAATTTCAACAATTGTGACCATATTGTTAAGCTGTTTGAACGCGAAAACTATCCATTCATAGGTTCTTCAATGTATGTTCTCAGGGGGGCATAGGCATTATACAATACGCCCCGGGCCAATCCCCCACATGCACCTCTTCACTGAAACAGCTTACACACTTTGGCGTCATCATTCAAAAGCATCTAATTTATTTCTATAGAATTCACGTAAAGTTTCAAAAAAGATTAAAGGGGAATAAAAGATGTGTAGTGTATTCATTCATCCATCCATCCATCCATCCATCCATCCATCCATCCATCCATCCATCCATCCATCCATCCATCCATCCATCCATCCATCCATCCATCCATCCATCCATCCATCCATCCATCCATCCATCCATCCATCCATCCATCCATCCATCCATCCATCCATCCATCCATGGATGCATCCATCGAT